CAACATCATCTGGATTGGTGCCTGTTAATCTCACATCTTCATCTTCAAGTTCATTTACCAAAGCTCCTGCAATAATAAAATCGATAAGCTTAATATATATATTTATTTATTTATATTTATTTATTTATTTATTTAAGCTTTATAACAAGTCTTAACTTTACTCTGTATATTAAGCTTATCATTAAGCTTATTTAGCTTAAAGCAATCAAAGTTAAAAACAAACCTTTAGCAGTTTCTTGACTATCCGTCTGGGGATCAGATGAGGAGTCACTGTATTGAGGTGTAAAATCTTCATCACTACATGTGCTTCTCAAATCGAAATCATCGACAGAGTCGTCGTCGGATGAACAATGATTTGTTTTTTTACGGTGCCATTTTCCACTTTTTTCATCATAATACAATGAAAGATGAAGCCTATAGGTTCGCTGAGTTACGAAATCATCGCAATGACTACAAAAACGACGCTTTTTCTCCATGTTCTTTGACAGACTTTTTTCAACGCGATATCGAACTGTAAACAGGGAATCTAAAAACCCCAAGKGAGCCCAAGCTTCAATGTATCCATGGAGACAAGAAAAAATATTTCCATTGCAGGCGGCGGGTGCCGGGTGCAGCTCGAAAAAAATCAACAGACATAAGACYTTTTTGGTTGTTGTGAATGTGTTGGATAATAATCTTAATTTTTGCCCGAATTTTATATCAATTTTAGCTAAACGAGCCGGTATGTACGTACAAGTTAGACAACATACGGGATATTCTTTATATACTTTATATATACTTTATATACTTTAAACGATCTTGGGCTCCCTGTGATGAGCCCTCTAATTTTTTGGACTGCGGTAAAGTCTTTTAAAAGCATACTCAACTGCGTCAGCCAATCATGACCATCAAAACATGTRAAAAGTAAACAGAGCCAAATTCAAATGCTCGTGCTCCACGAGGTTCGATCTCTTTTGCATCGCCTCACATTGCTAGAAACACTTCGTTCGAAACACTTCATTTTATTTTATAAAASATGGCTCSTGGGCTTACAAAAGGTCAAAGGAAGCAAAAGGAGACGATGCAGAGTGCTGTATGTCGACAGATTATCCCTGAACCTGTATTGGTTGGTCAGCAAGCGAGTAATACTTCATCTACAACTCCGCGAAGTGATTCTACACCGCGTCCAAACACTTCAACTCCGCGTCCTTTTACTTCGACTCCACTTCATAGTACTTCTAGTAGTCCACAGGAAAGTACTCTCGGAGAKTCTCCAACCATACAATTGCCAGAAACATCGATYGACCAGGAAACACCTATCGCGCAGGAAACACCGCCTAGTTATGTGGAGTTCATGGAGGAACAGAGATCGATAAACCAGCGATTTGTGACGATGCTAGAGACGCTACAGTMGACTCTGCAGTCCAGTACGCCAGCTAGTCAAAAGAGGACCCGTTTACCATTAAAACTGACGGTAAGGGATTATATTACAAGTCTTTTATAAAATATTACGAGCAACGTAATGTAGATTTCAGAATAAACCACGTGCAATCTAACTTGAGRTATGTTTGTTTTAGTTTCCCGCCGCTTTGGACATATGCTTGAATTATTTTACATACATTAAGTCCTTTCATATTGTGTTTAATATGTCTGACATTTCGGTTGTTTAAACGGAAAGTAAAACAAGATGCTAAAGTTGGATTTTCTTGTATATTTCCAATATTTTTAGGAAGCTGTCAGAGGTGCCTACAAGTSCTTTGAGGAGGCAGCAGCAAATGAGGAAGAGGGTGTGAACCTTTGGGATTTCACTAAGAGGTATCTTTTTACTCTTACCATGTAGTTATATAACAACATATCATATCCATACATAATATATTCAATCTCAGTTGACACAAATTTAATAATTTATTCTACAGCTTTTCATCTCAAGAAAATGGACAAGTCAATCATGACATTCTAAGAAATGTTCAAAGCACAGAAAAGCAGTATTCAACTGCAGCTATAAGAGGTAACTTGATAATTATTTTATAATTAGTTCTATCTAATGATCTACTTATATGTATATATGTCATCCACCTAAATAATCCTTCTGTGCTTTTTATATTTTAGCATCAATAAGAATCTATTTCAAATCAAGGAAAAGAAAGTATGTGACACAACAAAAGAACAAAACAAAAGAATATTTAAAGTCATCAAGAGCTAGGAGTASAATGAATACTGTAAGTCTATATCCAATAATATCAATTTACATAAGGTGTTTACTCTACTATATGAGGCTATTTGTTTCTTTTTTATTACTTATATTTCATGACTTATTTGTATATATTTCATGAAAGATAAGTCCTTTGTAAAGCATTGAAACCTGTACTCTGTAATGGTAGATAGTTCAAACATCTGTGTCTTTGATTTATGAAAAGTTTCTTCAGTTTGAAAACTGAATTCAATATGATGTCAAAACAGGTTTTCTTTATTTTCCTCTTTTTTCACATAATAAAAAGCTTAGGCATCAATTTTTATTGGACATTTTCAGACTTGCCAATATAACAAGAAGATTTCATTTTTGATGAAGCCTCTTGTGACATCATAAAGAATCATCCTTTTTAATTTTAAAGACACAGTATTAAAACTTAGAAATATTTCATTATTTAAGTATTTAACATTACATAGAATTTATTCTAATGATAAATATTGTCTCAGGGTTATACAGTAAGCACACATCTAAGCAATATCAGTATTATTCATTGTATAGAATGTAATCTGGCTTTCATTTATTCCAGAAACGATTACAACGTAAGAGAGTTCTCATGGATTCAACATCCTTTACTGAATCTGAGAAAGAAAGATTGCTGYCAATTTTGAAAAATGAGTTTATGTCATCTGATGAGTCTATGTCAGAAGAATCAGATGACAATGACAGCATTGCATCTGGTTCAGATGATGAGCACATTGCACCGAAGAAAAAAGTCCTGATTGTGAAGAGATTGACTTGGAGGAGCCGGGAACTAAATTCAGCACTAGAGAAAATGGATAGAAGAGTATCCAGAAGGAGGACAACAAAGGGGAACTCAATGGTTATGAAGAGAAGGAAAGGTGCTCCATCATTACGAAGAGCACCTGAAGATGCTCCAGGTTGGGCTTTGAACAATRACAATTAATTATTGATTGCTGTAATTAGTTTAATAGAAGAGTGTATTTAATACGCATCAATGAATACAAACATCCCTGCAGATAAGCTCATTTGGACCACTGCTACTGCACATCCATTGAGCTTGTATATAGTCTTTGATATACTTGTTTTTGGACCAGTGATATTAAGCTGAAACTGGTGTGAGTCAGGACAGTATCAATAACCCAAATGAATAGTGAAAAGTATGGCCCAGAGAAAACAACAGGGAACCACCTTAATCAAACTGATACTAATGTCTCATTGCAATGATGTAATAAATGCACTCTACTTGAATATTTTTATTTTATGTAAATAGCTTGAACTTAGGTACTCAAATTCTGACATTTTAATATATAATAATATATCAAAAGTTGCTGTTATTTGAAAGCACTATGGTCTTGTGCTGTGATTTTATAATTAACTTGTTTAATGAAAAACTGAATTATATGTGTAGAGATTGCAATTATTTATTTGTACCAATATCACTGGGGGCTGTGCTCACTTTTGAAATGATTACCTTAGTATCTACAAGATAATTAYAATGTTTCAAATTTTGCCAAAAATTATTATTCATTTTTTAAATAGTTTGATAAAATGTAAATAGAGATTTAGTATTTTTATAATATATCTCAGCGATGACTTTTTTAAAGATGCAAATACTGCAGTATTTAGATTGTTGTTACAGTTGAAAATAAATTGTTTACATATCATTCTGTGTATATCTGTATGAACTGTGGTGAAGATGATTGAAAAATAAATGCAATGAAATGAAGTGTTGAAAGTGATTTCATTTTGCTTCTGTGCAAATGAAGATTAAAAAAATAAAGTGTATATGGTATTCAAGAACAGCAGTAATTATGGAGGGAATGAAATTGGCAATGTGTAGTGAATATGATGTGGTTATTGTATTTACATCACATCTACTATGGAGTGTAAATATGGAGTGAATATGATATTCACACCCAGGTGAATATGAAGTTGATACAATGTTC